CGACCCTACGTGACTACGTTACCAAAAAAACTCACAACTGATACCTTCAGGTTATAGAACTTTAAAACTGAATGCTGGGCTCATAACCTCTTGAAAATTATAGTGGAAGTGAGGATTTTCTGGGTACATTGAAATAATAAACGCCATGTTTTGTTCGATAGCAACGACTTCGTCTTTATTTTAATAAGCAATATTGGCAACACGCCATACATCAAGTGTTTACAAAGTACATAGAAAGATGGCGCTACATGTATTGAAATACCTTTTTTGATATATCACAACAGTTTATAATATCTTCCGTTTTATCTCGAATTCCTTTTTAGTTTCTGCTACCAATATTCGTAAAAGTTTTTCATTTTCGATTTCGTTAGTATTTTTCCGATTTAGGTGGTTGCTTTTTTTGTAGTAGTCCTGCGATTAAGCCCCCAAACCTGGAGGGTCAGGTAATTTTGATTAAAAGGTGTTCCTTATGTCTTTAATTTTGTTTCTCAACTAAGGTTATACTAATATTAAAAGATATCTCGTTAAGATTAAACACTTAAAGTGAAGAATCATATTAACGACCTTAGTTACACGACCTCTTTAAAAACCTTTACCTTAACCACCAGTGCAAAACAAAATCAATATTCTTTATCGTCGATTTCTTCGCCTACACAAACATATTTATTTACAAACCTAATAAGCCAATAAAGATTTTTCACAAAAGTTTCAGTGGGTTAAGGATAAAATTGTGAAGGTCAATGTTCTGCAAGCATATAAATTCATATCACATAAAAAGAGTGTCAATTTTTATAGACAAACCGATAATTACGTTAAAATTGTGCGAGGTCAAGCGTATTAGTCATAATATAAGTTTATTATTGTCAGTAGGGAAGTTTGGGGCGAATTAACTTGTTTTGTGACTCTAAGATCGTGGTGATTTTTAATATTTTCTATTCTAAGCCAGCAGTGTCGTGGTAAAGATTGACACATATTTGACAGAAATATTGCATCTGTACACGATCTTCCACTACTAAAACCCTGTTGTTAATCTGCTAAACTTATACTCTGATTTATTAGCACTTGTAAAATTTTACATTGTAATTTTTAAAGTATTTAACAAGTTTATACCTCTGTAGTTTTCTGGCTGTTTTTATCTCCTTTTTTGAATAGTAGAATTAGTTCACTCGTTATCCATTCTTCCGGTATTTTATTATGTTTTATAATTTTAATAATTAATGTTTTTAATTGTTCTGTCATTGCTGCTCGAAAATATTTCAGTAACTCGTTTGGTATCCCGTCTTTACCTGCTGCTTTTCTGCTCTTCAGGTTTTCAAGTATTTTCCAAACTTCCTGTACATTTATATTAAGTTCTTCATTTGTGGTAATTTCTGGTGTTTCTGGTTCTAGCGTGTTTGTTTTTTAGGTAATCAATCCACGTATCCTTTTGTATGTATTTTGGTTCTATTACAGTAAATTCAACTTCAAGTTACGGACAGAATCAACACAAGTCACCGCGTGATATTCGAGTCTACACGTGACGAACGCCTTGCTATTGGCCAAATTGTCGAACGATCGTAAGTCAGGCAGTTAGCCCTAACAGGTGCGGACTTCGTTTTTCCCTCCATCCTCTGTCGAATGCGAAATGGCCCAGTAATTTTGTGCAAAGCTGTTTGTTGGTTTGTTTAATTGTTAATCGTTAGCTCGTGTGTGAATAGTGCAAAGCATTTTTAAGAACATTTAATTATAGTCGATACAAACTTTTTCCCCACTTTAAAATAATTCTGTAAGTATAATAAAGCATTTATAATAGCCATAAGATAAGATATAATATCGACCTGCACTGATATGTTTAATGGATAAAAATTATTTAGTATGTAAAAATTATGAAAAACAAGAGGTGCCCTATATAATTTTGTCCTGGCTATAATTAATTTAAACTCTTTGCGGCACGAGATTTTATAAATTTTCTACAATGAACCCTTGGGGCATAGAAAGATTCAATTGCACACGTAAAAAGTAAAATGACCTCACTTTTCAAGAAACAACTGATAACCATTCGCGTTTGGCCAATAACTATACCGTGGGAATTTTACCAATTAAAGATAACACTTAATAGGGACAGAGGGAGTAAGTAATACAAACCACATGCGAACCTAGGTGTAACTTGATAAAAATAGGGTTAATAAGTGATTCATTTTGTGGACTACGTACAACATGTAGCAAAAATTTGGTGGTTCAAATTTCAATCCTATGTGCCGAAAATAGTTAAAAAATACCTTTTTTTATATATTTAAAAAAAAATCAACCCGGGCATGATATTGTTTTAGATTTTTTTATCATTCTAAACAAAAATTTATTTTGTAATTTTTTCTTAAGTTGATCGTGTTCGAGTTATAAATAATTTAAAACTGGAAGACAAGAAAGAAATTGGCAGGCGAACAAGAATTGACAGACAGAAAAAGAATTGACAGACGAATAACGATAGATGACGATTTTCAAGGATCAAAATCGTTAGTAAAAAAATATCACATTTAACAAAGCGGTGTAGGTAAACCTTATATCGGAGCCTCTACTATAAAAGTAAATTTGAAAATGCCCATTTTGTTTTATTTTAGTTGAGAAAAGTATAATAAATCCATTTATTTAATATGTCTGATACGGAGTCGGCAAATGAAAATGAGGAAATGTTAACGCTAAGTCCTCCTAGGAAAAGAGCTAAGAAAAATCACGTAGATATAAGAATCAAAAAAATAATGGTTAATACATACAAATGTGAATTATACAAAATAATCTTACTTTAGCGTTCCAAACACTGGAAAAAAATGCTAAAATTGTAATGGACATTGCCCCTAACCATTCCAGAAAATTGGAAAAAATTCCCATTATGGCTACAAAAAATGCAGATATTCAAAATTGGCTTCGCTCAAAAAACATTCCCTTTGAAGAACCGATGTTTAAAGGTGCAACTTTTAGAAATCGTTAAACAACATAAAGGCGAATATAATAAGTACATAGTAGATGAACTGGTAAGAAGCACAAATAGAATAGTTTTAAGGTTGCCACCGTATCACTGCGAGTTCAATCCAATCGAGCTTGTATGGGCGGAAGTCAAGAATTATGTAGCATGGCATAACACAACATTTAAATTTGCTGACATTAAAATTTATTTCATGAAGCTGTGTCTGCTGTAACCATGGAAAGATGGAAAAACTGCGTCAAACAATGTAAAAGAAGAAGTGGAGCCAAAAATGTGGGAGTTGGACAATTTAATTGAGGCACAAATTAAGGCTATCATTATCAACTTTAATGATGACAACAGTATATCAGATTCTGAAAGTTAAGATAAAATACGGTAATTTTATAAATTTTTTTTTGTATACTTATTTTGTTGTTAATAACTCTCGACTTGTAAATCATTTTTATATTTAAAAAATTGGTGTACTATAATCTGTACCTGTCAGACGTCTACAAATTATATAAGGTTTTGTATTGCAGCTTTCATTTAGTAGTCCGGCCCTGAACAAACGCGTGTTTCCAGCGTGCATTTGTTTCCATCGTCCGTAGCTTGAAGTTGAATTTACATTAGTTCCTTTACCTCCGTTCTTTGACCTCTTATGAAGGACCATATTTCCTTTTGCAGACCGTAAAAATCATGTTCCGTTTTTTTCGAAAAGCGTTCCCAGTGATCATTTTTTATTTTTCTTACAAGTGCATGATTGATGCAGCTTGATTATTGTATGCTAATATTTGAAAGAAACAATTTGCCCAAATCTCCCCTATATGATATGATTACAACAAAAATTGATGTAAGAAGTCAATTTATGCAACTTGCCGTGAAGATTTCAAGATTAGTGTAATAATAACATAAGTTATCGTTATAATATACACCATTAAGAGAAATGCAAGGTGATACTAGCAACTCTCCCAAAACCGATTTGTTTGCGATCAGAAGGCGTGAAAGCCGAAACTATTAAAACGTTTTTACATTTTTAAGAATTTTTACTTGGCTTGCTTTGTGTTAAGATGTAAGAGAGACATTCAATTAGGACTTAAATCCTTAAGGCTTACTCATAAGTTTGTCGACGTTCCTATATTACTTTTTTAATTCAGTTTTGGTTGTCACAATTAGACTCTCTACTGACAAGAAATTAAGGAAGGTGATTAATAAATGTAATACGATATCCGAAATGTAACGTGGTGTAAATAGAATACGCCGTTTACTAATAAGAAAATCAAAATAATATTGGTTCACAACATTTTGATAGATATCCGTACATTTTAATGGATTTTATGCAGTCTTTTATAGTGATCCAGCTATAAAAAACAGACGCATTCACGATACGTTTCAGCAAATTAATATTTGGTTAGCACAATTTATCCGAATTCGTAATTATTTACTCCGTATCAGTGGCGTTTCATGAAGGTATCTTAAAAATAATGGCTTGTATTGAAATTTAAATATATTTGAGACATTTATTTTATAAAAGGAACTAAAGTAGAAGCTACATATAGAGAAACTCTCATTCTCTCTCCTGTTGCCGACCATAAGGTAGCTTCCCCTATTTTAAAAATTTTAAAGTGTTTGTCGTTGTACAGTGTATGTAATGTACAATTTTATGTTTTATGACATTCTATAATTGTTGGATAAGCTAAAATTGACGGAAATGCCCCTGAAGATGCTCTAGGAAGCGAAAGTACTTGGGGCAAGATTTAATTAATAAAATCGATAATAAACGATTAATAAACACGATATTTGCTTTCATTAGATCAAAGTTAATTAGTTTTTCTTTGGTGTTTTATTAGGTGTTAAATTATTAACTTTTTAACTGTATATTCATAAAATTTATCTATTCTAATTTGATCTAATTACCGCAGTAGTTTCTTCAGTTTTACTTAATCCTAGGCTTTTTGGGAAAATACTAACATTATTTAAAGAAAAATATTATAACATAGACCAGGCTGAATATAACAGAGAGGTTTAAGAAGTAAAGAGATATTAACAATGGTAAATTACTCACAGTTATCCATACTTTTCCATCAAAATTAAAACTATTTTTTGGTGCTCCTAAGTAGGAAATAATTTCTAATTTATAGTTCTCGGGTATAACATCCTTTGGAAGTCTGTAGCAGTTGGTAGCATGTACAAATATTAAAAATAAGGCTACGAGACGAACCATAATCTGAAAAAAATCAGAAATTTGTTATATAAAAATTATACATTATAAAATTTATCGAATTAAATAGCACAAATAACCTACAATACATGATGTCTGTCATATTTGGCATAAATTCAAAATATTACATTTCTAAGAAGACTGTGGACACTGTCACAAATTCAAAACTAAATATAACACAAAAAGAGTAGATTTTGTACAACATATAGGAGCCCCTTCCTGTATCAGTTAGTCCACCTATGGAATTTGCAGTTTAAAGTCGATTACCATAAACAAATTATACTCTGCATGTTTTTATAAGTTCCCATATTAATATAGCATTTTTAATAATATTTATTAAAAATATTGCCCTTATGGTTTTTTATTAATTTTCAACAATAAAAAAAAAATTAAATAAACCCTGGCTATGCATTCACTTATGTCACGTTGATTTTTTTATAATTATGTTTAAATCCAGAGGTAGCTAATGGAAAAATGACATCAATACAATAATATATTGTCCAGTTAATGTCAAAATGTATTTTGTAATATTGTAAAGTTTTTGCCGTTTGTGGATTGTACAATGGGTCGAGGTAAAGTTATTGATGAGAAAATTTGTTCAATCATTCGTCAGAAGAAACAAAACTACAGGTTCGGTCCTCACAAAACCTAGGAATGTACGAAAAAGTAAAATAACCGAAGCAGATCGAAGTTGAAAGATACGAATGATTTTAAATATAAATTTCATTTTATTTTAGACTAAGTAAAAGCCACTTTTTAACATTACAACAAAAGAAAAATAGACTAAGATAGTCAAAAGAGCATAAAGATTGAAAATCAATCGCAATGGGATTCAATAGAATGGATTTGATGAGTCCAGATTTGAAGTATGTGTTTGAGACAGTAGGAGTGGCGTCATTTGCAAGGAAAAATTAAGCATTCTATAAATAGGGCTCTGAAATACATACCAGCGAGAGCCATATTATTTATAACAAACAAGGAGGAGGTCCATGTCATTATGATACCAAAGCCAGAGGAAAGAACAACACGTTTCCGCAAAATTACAGGACAATAAGCTTACTTCCAGCAAATCTGCAAGATCGTAGAGAGAGTCATCCTCCTCCGACAGACTCAAGCAGAAACGGATAGGCTAGAAATAATACCATAAGCGCAGTTTGGATTCTGGTCAGAACACTCTAAGCAATCTATAAGCACTATATTAACAAAGTACATAGCAGCTGAATTTAATGACAAACAATACACAGGAGCCCAGGCAAACAATTTCAGTTTCGCGGATAAGTCACTAGAGAGAACACGAATAAAGTGTCTCATGCTAGCCTGAATTTTAAATTGGTTAGGGAACCATGATAGTCAAGACATACGATCCATAGAAAAGTTATACTGGCGTCAAACAGAGACAGCTTGCATAAACGAAAATCAACAGAATATGTAAAATACAAATAGGTGTCAGACAGGGTTGTATACTATCCCCACTGTTATTTAATTTATATTCAGATAGAATATTTAAAGAATCGCTGCATAATTTGGACTGGGGCGTGAAAGTTAATGGAATTCTGATATAATACAATCAGATATGCAGACGATAAAGTTATTTAAGTGATGACATGAATGGATTACAATGCCTTTAAATGCCATTGATACAGTGGGAAGAGAGTTTGACCTAAACATAAACTGTTTCAAAACAAACACATGGTGTTTAGGCCGTTTAGCACATCAAGATGCACGATTATATGTTGATGGTCATATAATTCAAAGAGTGTCCAGTTTTAAATATCTTGGTTGCCATATACTGAACAACTAGATCCAGATCAAGAGATAAAATGTGGAATCGAGATAGACCGCACGACATTTTTAAAAATGAGGTCATTCTTCTGTAATGATAACTTGAAACTTCAACTTCGAAAGCGTATGGTTAAATGCTACATTTGGTCAGTCCTCTTATACGGTGTCGAAGCATGGACATTAAAAATATCCACCATTAATCGTCTGGAGGCCTTTGAAATGTGGCTGCACAGACGTATACTAAAAATTCCATGGACGGCTATGCTGACAAATGTGGCAGTCCTTGAGAAAGCAAATGCTGCTCGCGAGCTGCTTGATAACATCAAATGTAGAAAGATGGCCTATTTTGAACACGTAGTAAGGGGAGACCGATATAATATTCTTCAACTTATTATGATGGGTAAAATCGAAGGACGCAGAGGAATTGGTAGAAAGCAGGCCTCTTGGTTGAAGAATATCAGAGAGTGGACAGGAATAAAGAAAGCTGAGCAACTCTTTAGAATAGCTCGAGACAGAGACAGTTTCGCCATGTTAATCGCCAACGTCAAGGGGACTTGATAGGGCACGTTAAGAAGAAGAAGGGAACCAATGCGTCACACGAAGAGCATTTGGTTGATAGTATGCCCCTATCGCGCTAAAAGAGGCGAAACGGATATTCTGGAGCATTAGAGTGCGGATGAGTAATTCCTGTTTTAAATACGAATTAATACCCTCGGTCCAATGAATATGTTACACCCGAACGTAATTATAAAGAGATGAACAAGTCTCACAGGCTGTTAGAATTAAATCAGAGCAGTTTTGGTGTCCAGTATAGACACTGTTTGATTAACTTTTTTAAGTTTTTTTCAAGTTTCTGTAAGTTCAATAATAAAATTCGTGTCTGCGGTAAGTTATTAGTTATTCACAGTCCTTGTGTGGAGCCGATAAAGGTCGTCAACCTCTTTTACTGATTGTTTTATCAACAACGGCGATGTACCTACCTATTTTTGGGGTTTCTCTACTTAACTAAAACGGGATAGCGTCACCTGTTCCATTTACATCTGCATCCTGACTTCGTGACCTCAACCAAAGTTGATAGTCTAAAAATCGCACTGCAGGATTACTATGTTTATAACGTATAACGTCCTGGAAGAAAATTCCGCAACCATGATATTTGTCAATATTCAATAATGAATCGGCAATCATAAAAGAAGAATTGTCTTCGACGTAATTTGTAACCTAATGATGCTATTGAGCTCAAACTCTGACAAATAAGGTATGGAGGTTTCCCTGAAAGGTACCATTCTGCATCGACTTATTTCATATATGCTTTAAGTCATGGATTGCACAGACCGCGGCCCGCCGGCCGAATACTGGTGGCCCGCCGACACCTAAAATAATTCTCTTGTATATTCGAAAACTATTGAATTCTAATTATTCTATAAAAAAGGTTAAAGATGAAAATCGGCAGTTTCAAGAAATTTGGACTGAGAAATACTTTTTTGTATGGTCGCATAACAATAGTCGTTTGTTTAATTTGCAAGAATTGTGTTGCGATTGCAAAGGAATATAATGCAAAAAGGCACTATGAAACGCAGCATCCTTCTTTAACCAAGTTTACAGGCGAATTAAGAAAGCAAAAAATGTTGTCTCTAAAACGGGAGCTTATGGTCAGCAAGCTATGTTACAAAACCCATTCAAGATTCAGAAACAGCTACAGAAGTTAGTTATGAAATTTCTCGAATGATAGCAAAGCGAAGTCGCCCCTTCAATGATGGCGATTTTGTAAAAGAATGCATAGAAATTGCCGCTAAGAAAAATGTCTCCAGAAGCATCAAAAAAGTTTGAGAAAATTCAACTGAATCGTATGACTATCCAATGACAAATAATATCTTTGTCAGGTAATATTGCGGAACAATTAATTGAAAAAACTAAGATCATTGATTTTTTTTTCATTAGCACTCGACGAATCCACTGATATTAGTTCCACAGCTCAACTGCTCATATTCATACGAGGTGTTACTCAAGATTTTGAAGTCTTAGAAGAGTTATTAGAATGTGTTCATTAAAAGGTCAAACCAAAGGAGTTGATATACTCAATGTTCTTTTGGATGAGTGTTCAAAAACTGATTTGGAGACTTATCACAATTATCGGGAGTTGCGACTGATGGTGCTCCTTCGATGATTGGTGTCAATTCCGGGCTAGTTACTTTGCTGAAAAAGCATCTGCAAGAAAAAAAACATAAACGCTGAAGATCTTATGCAGTTTCACTGCATTATATACACCAAGAAGCCCTTTGTTCTAAAAAAATTCATGTCAATGTCATGAAAGTGGTAGTTTCGATTGTAAATTTCATAAAATCACGAGGACTCAATCACAGCCAATCAAACAATTCCTTGATGACATCGAAAGCGAATACGGAGATTTACTGTATTATACAGAAGTAAGGTGGCTAAGTCGTGGATTGACACTGGAACGATTTCTAACTTAATAGAAGAAATTGGAATATTTCCTCGCGGAAAAGCAAAGGGATGTCCCGGAACTTAAAAATCCTGATTGGTTGTATGATTTGGTTTTTTTTAGTTGACATTTCAAATCATTTTGAAATGTCTTGAATACATGGCTTCAAGGCAAAAATCAACTGATATCCCAGCTCTACGCTCATGTATTATCCTTTCAATGCAAGCTGACACTTTTCAGATCACAGTTGAATTCTGGAAATTACAATCATTTCCGAATTATAAGAAAATGGCTGAAAAATTCAACAAAACTGCGACTAATTTCAGTTATGTAGAAAAGCTAGATATTTTGATTCAATCTTTTCAAGAAAGATTTTCGGAGTTTAAAAAAGTGAAACCTCTGTTGGACATATTCAGCAATCCTTTCACGATTTCAGTTGAAAATGCGCCAGAGTCAATGCAGTTAGAAATTATCGACATTCAAAACGACCAAGATTTACGCAACAAATTCTTGGAGACTTGCTGAACTTTTACCGCTGCGTTGATAAAAATATGTACGAAGAGTTGCGCATAAACGCTCTGAAATGTGCCAGCTTCTTTGGTTCTACCTATATATGTGAACAAACTTTTTCAATCCTAAATAATAATAAAACAAAAAATCGAAACCGCCTTGCAAATGAAAGTTTGGAAGCAGTTTTACGTGTTTGCTACAAGTAAATTTGAGCCAAATATAAAAAAGATTGTAAGCACGTTTCAAATTAATAAATTATTTTTCAATTTTAATA